GCCGCATGTACGACGCCGAGGCCACCAGGCAGCACGGCGGCGTGGCCGCCGTGGGGGACAAGATCTGCAAGGGGTGGTGTGCTTCAAGCGCCCCTTCCTCATCATCACGGGCGTCACGTTCGCCGGCGCGCTCGTGTCGCTGGTGCTGGTCTGGAGGACAAGGAACTTCTACAGGGGGGACATCTACGCCAAGTTCAAGGTGGCACCGGCGGTGGCCTCTGAGTCGTCTGAGGGGAGCAGCGCCGACGGCAATAGAGTCGAGATGGTGGAGGAGACGGAGGGAAAGAGCAAGAGCAAGAAAGAGGTGGTCAACCAGGACTTGTACTAGCTTCATTTGATTGGAGCAGTGTTTGGAGACTAATGAGGGGTAGAAAACAGCATGCGTAATTGTCACTCTGTATTCTGTTATTATGTACCACACAACTTGTGTTATATCCATATTGCCTGTTTGCATAGGGGGGTTTGGATGATTGGATCCTCCAACTGTTTGCCTCATCCTCTCCTCCGTCTGTGTGTGGGCCTGTTTACAACACCTGAAATTTGAACCCGAAAACAGTTCAATTCCATAGAAAGTAAGAAAATACATGGCCTTAAAGTAACATGGTCTCAATGTTACGGGAACATAGTTTATGTTTGCATTACAGATTTACAGCTGCCTCCACCACTGTTTTGCTAGTAGTATATATAGTATCTAACCTTGTGTCACTGTGTCTCCATGTCTTTCTCAAATTTGCTGGGAATAATCGCCTTGTCTACTGTCAACTTCATCAAGTGAAGTTGAAGTTTTGGGCGTCTGGACAAACCTGTAGTCATCGTGGATAGCGGAGTTCTGACATACTACGAAGCGGCTGCTTTTGACTTCAAGCATTTCACACAACTAACATGTCGAGCCTCAGGGGTCACCCTCCATCGATGTGGTCAGGCTGCACGCCCAGCTGCAACCAAAATCACTTTCGCTGAAATTAGGTAACTATCTAGTATTAACAGCACATGAACACACTTTCATACAAAATATCAGATCAATGGTTATGAGTAAATGATGATAGTTCTTCGCAGGAGAGCTGGACACAAGTGCAAGTTGCAAAATTTAACGTGGCATGCTCCTACAAAAGAGAGCCAAACGCAAGGTATATATTAATCTGAAAGTCCTACCTGATGCCCTGATCAAACGTGGCATGCTAAGCACTACCAGAAAAGATGGCTGAGCATATTTTAAACTCACCTGCATAGGCAACAAAGATTAAGTCAAGGAGGTTAGTAAAAAGACGACTAATGATGCAAAATATGTAACCACGTTTGATTAGTCTGCTTTAGTCAATAAACATATGACAACCACATGCAGAGTCAATTTGCTGACCAAATACTAGATTTCTCTTATTAAACTATAGAGGCATGATAACATTAACATAGCACTTATCTCATTTGTCACCGTCCCGTTTCCAACTTCGTCCATCTTGTTTTGAGTGGAACGAAACTGAAAAAAAAAAGGATTTCACCAGTAGTATTTTGGTAAAATTGTCTCCGTACATATTATGTTGCTGGTGAGTGCCAAAAGACCATCCAAAGTTAGAACATTGCCAAAATAGCATCGGCTGTGTCTGACATGTGGCTCATGGCCTCAACTTTGGATGGTATTATGGCAACCAAGTTTCAACATAATGCTATGCTGGTGGCAACTTCCCTGTAATATTTCATCATTCCTGATAATATCCAATGCCAATTTCTATGTAACAATCTCCCACAAGACCAATATTGTAAAGATTACTTATAGACCACCAAGTTATGCACAATGGAGACCACGGTTTTGGAACAAAGAACGATATGCAGTATTTTATTCACAGAACCATGTCACTAAGGCAAGAGCATCAAACCTTAAGGTTGAACCCGACTATAAACATAAGAGTGATGCAAATACTACCTAAAAATAATAACAGAGAGACAGCTAAACGCAAGAGTTTTCAAACTGAATCGAACTGCAGCCTAATCACAAGGGTGGAGACAGCTAAGTGCAAGAGTTTTCAAAACGAATCTAACTGTAGCCTAATCACAAGGGTTTGAACACGAAACCCTGATCCTTCTACAATGGATTACAAGCAAAGGTCATCACCAACACACCAGAGTTTCAACTTGCCTGCATAGTACAGGTCAAAGCAGTTAGCAAATGAATGGCTAACGATGTAAAATAAGTAGATCAGTCTAAATATTAATAGATATATCACATGCAGGACCAATTCTTTAACCAAACATATCAAATACATGCTCCCTTATTAAACAACAGTATGACTAACAAGAGTAACAACAACAGACTATTTTGCAGAGAAAGACATGCAGAATGTTTAGGAAACGATAATACCACAGAGGATTTCTTCTAAAATGTTTCATTTACCAATGTTAAATCAGTTCCATGTCAACTAAGACATTCCCTTTTCAAGGAACCACAATTATCTTCTCATGTTATTGCTACAAACCAAACATGGAATCAGGCATTGATAAGACCCACCCAACGACAAATTCCGCACTACATTCTTATCCAGAATGAAGATTGTACAAAATTTTGAGGACCCACCATGTTATGCACATTAGAGGCCATAGTTCCATACCAAATAACCACATGCAGTATCTTATTCACACAAATGAACAGGAATAAGCGTGCTTTACAATTGTCATTAAGGCGAGATCATGAGGCCCCTTAGCACTGCAATCCATGGAGGAAGGCTATTTACAGGACGCAAACATCCCAAAGCACACTAACATGTAACAATGACCATTTCATCTTCGGTCAACTTCATGAACTGAAGTTTTGGGTGTCTGAACAAACCTGTAGGCATCGTGGATACCAGAGTTCTTTTTTCTTTTTCTTTTTTGAAAATTGGATAGCAGAGTTCTGTACCAAGCGGCTGCTTTGGACTTCAAGTATTTCACACTACAAGCATGTCGAGCCTCAGGGTCAGGGGTCACCCTCCATCCATAGAATATACTGCAGAGCACTATTCCATATAACAAATATGTGGTCAGGCTGCACGCCCACCTGCAACCAAAAATCACTTCCGCTGAAATTAGGTAACTATCTAGTATTAACAGCACGTGAACACACTCGCATACAAAATATCAGATCAATGGTTATGAGTAAATGATAAAAATTCTACACTAGGAGAGCTGGACACAAGTGCAAGTTGCAAAATTTAACGTGGCGTGCTCCAAGAAAAGAGAGCCAAACACATGGTATATATATTAATCTGAAAGTCCAACCTGATGCCCTGATCAAACGTTAAGTATCATAACAAGCTAAATCCATTAGCTAAGCACTACCAGAAAAGATGGCTGCGCATATTTTCAACTAGCCTACATAGGCAACAAAGATTAAGTCAAGGAGGTTAGTAAATGGACGACTAATGATGCATAACATGTAACCACGTTTGATTAGTCTGCTTTGTAGTCGATAAACATATGACAACCTTCAGAGTCAATTTGCTGACCAAATAGTAGAGTTCCCTTATTAAACTATAGATCTGAGGCATGATAACATTAACAAAGCACTTATCATAGAAAGACATGCATAATATTTGCAATATCTCTTTTGTCACCGCCCTTTTCTATAAATGTTTCTCATAGTAATCTGAACTCGGTTCCGTATCAACTTCAGCCATCTTGATATCAGTGGAAACCATAGCTATCTTGCTGTGTTCTGACGAAACTGAAAAAAGAATTGGCCATTAGTATTTTGGTAAAATTGCCTCATAAATATTATGTAGCTGGTGAGTGCCAAAAGACCATCCAAAGTTAGGACATGCCAATTTGTATTTTTATTTTTTGAGAACATGTCTGTTTGACACATTTTTCATTAAGAGAGGACATGCCAAAATAGCATTGGTTGTGTCTGACATGTGGCCTCATGGCCTCAACTTTGGATGGTATTATGAAAACTAAGTTTCAATATTATGCTATGCATGGTGGCAACTTCCTTGTAATATTTCATCATTCCAGATAATACCGAATGCAATTACTATGCAACATTCTCCACAAGACCAATATTGTAAAGATTACTTACAGACCACCAAGTTATGCACATTGGAGACCATGGTTTTGGAACAAAGAACCATATGCAGTATCTTATTCAGAGAAACATGTCACTAAGGTAAGAGCATCAAACTTTAAGGTTGGAATGCGACCACAAACATAAGAGTGTGATGCAAACACTTTTTAAAATAATAACGAAGAAACAGCTAAAGGCAAGAGTTTTCAAACTGAATACAACTGCAGCCTAATCACAAGAGTTTGAACTTTGAACTTTGAACACAGAACCCTGATCCTTATGCAATGCATTACAGGAAAAGGTCATCACCAACTCACCAGATTTTCAACTAGTATTCTTGATCAGTCTAAATTTTTCAATAGACATGTCACATACAGGACCAATTCATTAACCAAACGTATCAAATACATGCTCCCGTGTTAAACAACAGTCTGACTACCAAGAGTAACATCAACAGACTTTTAGCAGAGAAAGACATGCAGAATGTTTAGGAATCGATAATACCAGAGGGTTTCTTCTATAATATTTCATTTACCAATGTTAAATCAGTTCCATGTCAACTAAGTTATTCCCTTTTCAAGGAACCACAACTATCTTCCAATGTTCTTACCACAAAACCAAGCGCCATTAATTTTTCAGCAACCTGATAAGACCCATCCAACGACAAATTCCGCACTACACTCTCATCGAGAATGAAGGTTGTAAAAGATTTTGAGGACCCACCATGTTATGCACATTAGAGGCCATAATTCCATACCAAATAACCACATGCAGTATCTTATTCACACAAATGAACAGGAATAAGTGTGCTTTACAATTGTCACTAAGGCGAGAACATGAGGCGCCTTAGCACTGCAATCCATGGAGGAAGGCTATTTACAGGGACGCAAACATCCAAAAGCACACTACCATGTAACAATGACCAATTCATCTTCACCAGAACATTTGGTGAGTGACAACTTGGGTACTACCAGTTTTCTTTCACAATCTTTGACTTCTCGAATATGAATTTTCCTTCCTTGTATTTCTGTGTCTCTTCATATGCTCTCTCATACTTCCAGCCCAACACCTCACGGCAATCATTACAGTAGATATCAGCGACTGTGTGTAGCCCTGTCATAAGCTGCCTATCCTCCTTAGCCCCAACAACTACGTTCATGGCATGAGAGAACAGAAATGCACGGCCATTCCTCCCCTAAAACAGAAAAATGAAGAATGTATTATCCTCCAGGCGCCAGCAGAAGCCTCAACTAATATGGTGCTTACAAAGAATTTTCCGATCCGTAATGACACAGAGCTTACAAATGGTTTCAGAGACAATAATAGGGATCCTAGTTTTTGGTTGTGCTTTTAGCACCAAGTCACCGAGAACGTATCCAGTACTCCCACCTCTTCACCATACTCCTATGCTCCCATTTGAAAAAAACGACATCCAAATGTGTCCGAAAATTATAACAAAAATATGAATGGATACGTGACGCAAAGTTCAATGTTCATGTAAAATTTGAGATGCAACAAAAATCTGTGCAAGGAGATACAAAAAAACTAAAAAAAAAAGTGAAATCAGCGCTTGTATAGTTGCATCAGAATAAACAGTGCAACCCGTAACTATTCCAGTGTTGATTTCACTTTTTTGTATTTCCTTGCACATATTTTGTTGCATCTCAAATTTTAAGCGAGCATAAAACATTTTGGTGGTTTTTTTTTTCAAATGGGAGCATGGGAAAGGGTGGGAGCACTAGATACATGAATACTATATTGTTAAAAGCAGCAAACAAGAGCGCCCTTTTGCTGTTATGTTTCATTCAGTATTTAAAGTAAAATCAGAAGTACTATAATGCAATGAGAAGTACAACCATATATGGACATGAAATCTGAAGGCATGATTCAGAGGTGCAAACATAAAAAGAAATACACTAGCACAGACCATCTGTACCGACATCATAATAAGTCAAGTGGAAGTGGTGTAATCTCTGCTACCCATAAAAGACATGACTATGCAAACACAACTCGCAAAAAGTCGCAACGCACTGACATCTCGAGCTCTAAGTAAACAAACAGAAATGTTACAGCAGACACGCTTGGGGTGTCTATTGCCTGTCACCCCATTGCATTGCTTGTCACCCCATTGCTGCAAAAAGGATCGCTCCACTTGGCAATCACAAATCAATCAGGTCATCAAGAACATCCACACAAGTGGATCCACTAAGTGTATCACCTACATGAGGACTCGATTTTCGGAGGAAGCAGAGGTCCTAATTCCTACTAGTATAGATAGACTCGCCGGAAGCTAATTACAGAAGCTCCTAAGAACAAACAACACGCCGGAAGTGAAGGAAAGGTGATTCCGGGGAGTTCGGACCTGAAAGGCCTTGGAGATGATGTCGTCGTGGAGGCAGACGTGGTTCCGGCAAGTGCAGCAACTGTAGACGCGCGGCCCCACAAGCTCCGCCATCGACCGACGCTGCGCCTCGCGACCTCACCAGGGCCGACTAACCAATCCTGCAATTCCAAGATCGGAACACCAATTTATTCGATTCAATTACAGTTTTTCCAGAACCGAAAACCGCATCGATGACTGGAGAAACATGGAGGAGCAGCGACCGCTAGGCCCCCAAATCGGAGCGCGGGAACGGGAGGAGCGGAGGTCGTGAGGATGAGATTAGCGTGTAAGCGCGCGGGAGGTACTCACCGATGCGGCGTAGATCCGGTGGACGCGCGGAGAGCAGCCGAGGAGAGGGAGATCGAGAAGCGAGTTAGAGAGACAGAGAGACAGAGAGGGAGACGGCGGCGGCGCCGGGGTTGAGGTCAGGATCAGAAGTGAGAAGGTGGATTAGGGAAAGCCAGAGGAATGTGTTTAGTTGCGAGAAACGTTTCGGACTTCTAGTAAATCATTAGAATAATTACCAAACATCAAATAAAAAAGATAAATATTTTAAGGGTATGTTTGGTACAATTTAGCAATTTTTTCTTCAATTTCATAAAGCAGCTTCACCACTAAAGTTATAACTGTTTTATTAAAATATGATTGGTAAAACAACTTTAAGGGAAGATAGCATCGAGGTAGCAAGGAGAAACTAGTATTTTTAACTTCACCTTGGTTCTTGTGCTATGAAAGGAGTAGTAAAACAACTTTTAGGAAGAAATTATTTTCGTTGGACTTGTTTTGGTAGAAGAAACTAGAAAACAACTTTGTGAAGCTAGGGCAAAAACCCTGCCAAACAGGTTCTAAGAGAAATCAACTGATTCTCTTTGTTTTACTACCCGTAGTTGGTCGCACGCTGGCACCTCCCCCATCTTGTCATTACCCCTAGCCTTGCAGTCTTATCATCACAGGTTGACATCGTCGTTAGAGCTTACCGCCTCCCAACTAGATGTTGCCCTATTGTTGCCACCGCCACTCACGAAAAGCTTGACCCTTGCTCGCCCCGAATATATCTTCTTTCCTCCCACGTTTTCTCGAATATATCTTCTTTCCTCCCACGTTTTCTTTATTCGTTGGTCTGGTTATAAGCTTTTGTGCTTAATACCTCCTTATGACCTACTCCTCTTATGTATGTAGTTAGTCTTAAGGACTTATTAGGACCTCCTCTATTTCATATACTTTCCATGCTCATGTACCTAATTGTTCTCGGGATTGTTGAAGGAATCTTTGTCAGGCAAGAGTGCATCCATTAAGGATGAAAATGAAAGGGCTAAATCTTGACCCGACCCATCCCGTTTTCCACATTATCTGTTTGTTTTTGTATTATCGGCAACATCCAAAAATAGGATAGGAATCGGGTCGGATGTGTTCGGGTCTAACATCAAAAACAGGAAAGACTACACCTTGCTCGTATTTATGGGATCTCGTATTTGGACCGAAACATCCGTATTTGTGAATTTCAGGGTAATCCCAAAAACTAACACCCTATCCCAACAACCAAAGGCCCACCTCAGCCACCGCCCATGAGTCTCTCGTCTCCCCATCCGCTGCTGCAAGTAGCATAGGCCTCAGAGCATGTACAATCCACAGACAAGGGTCATCTGAAAGCGCCTTGAATCTATCGTACAGAAAGGTAAAAAGATAAGTCATACAACCCATAGTCTATTTTGTTGTCTACAAGTTGATTAATGCTCTACATGTAGCTAATATCAACGATAAAAAAATATTTTTATACCATTGTGTTGTTGTCTGATAGAAAATGTATCAAGCATAAATAAGAGCAACCTAATCACAATAACCGATGTTCAGAGACAATGAAAATTCACTTTACCAGGCATTTAACTAAAAATTCACACTCAAGTGATGTTTCACGCTTAACAGATTCACACTAAACTAAAAATTCTAGGTAGCCCATACATCATCATGACAGATCAAATACCACTGTTGTTTCAGATAGCTAATAGTTGAACTACATATTTAGATAGCTAACAGATAACAGAAGACTTTGATCTCACTCCTTGTCCATCTTCATTCCACACAGCATCCTTATAGCCCCAACCATATAACCTACACAAAAAAATTGTTGGATGGGAGCTTGTGACCAAATTGAAAGGTTTCCCTTTTGCAGTGAAAATTGTAGGCTGCCTTCTACGAAATAGGCTTATAGTAGACTATTGGGAAAGAAGTTTGGAAAGCATAGAATGGGAGTTCCATTCGATGGTGATGATATCATGCCAGCAATAAAGCATAGCTACAACTACCTCTATTTTGTAGGACAACAGTGCTTCTCATAATGTACATTGTTTCGTGGTGATTATGAATTTGGTAGTGGAGAGTTAATCCATTTCTGGGTAGGTTCCGGGGCACTAGGTACTAGTGAACAATACAAGAGAGTATTGGAATGGATTATATAATATGTATACTATGAATTTAGCAACTACTTTACATTCTAGGTTTTGATTTGTGCCTCTTAGAATTTCAGTGCAAAAAGATTGTCAAAAGAGCTTGTTGCAAATCTCCCTAAAGTTGGCAATGGAGAAGAGAACAAAATTGAGCAAGAGATCACTGAGACAAGGTTACAGTCCACATCTATGAAGACGGGGCGGGGGCAAGGGGGGCAAGATCCCCCCTAGCAAAACTGGTTGCAACAAAGACTATTTAGAAAGATTAGAACAGCTGGACAATGAAGACTATATGCATCTCTTCCAATCTCATGTTGGATGGGAGCTTGTGACAAAATTGAAAGGTTTCCCTCTCGCACGAAAAATGTAGGTTGGCTTCTAAGAAACAGACTTATAGTAGACTATTGGAAAAGAAGTTTGGAAAGGAAAGAATGGAGGTTTCACTTTGGTGATGATGATATCATGCCAGCATTAATTAAAGCTTAGCTACAACTACCTCTATTTTGTAGTACAACAGTGCTTCTCATAATGTGCGTTGTTCCCTGAAGATTATGAATTTGGTAGTAGAGAGTTAATCCATTTCTGGATAGGTTTTGGGGCACTAGGTACCAGTAAACAAAACAAGAGAGTATTGGATTGGGTTATATAATACATATACTATGAATTGAGCAACTACTTTGCATTCTGGGTTTTCATTTGTCTTAGAATTTCATTGCAAACAGATTGCCAAAAGAGCTTGTTGCAAATATTCCTAAAGTTGCCGATGAAGAAGAGAGCAAAATTGAGCAAGAGATCATTCAGAGAAGGTTACACTCCATTAGCAAAGAAGGGGCGGGGGGGGGGGGCAAGGTACCCCCCCATGTCCGTATAGTTTGCACTAAAAATCATAGGTACTAGTAAACAAAACAAGAGAGTATTGGATATTGGATTATATAACTAATTTGGTCGACCATGGATTCTTTGAAAAGGGTGAAAAAAATGATGGCCGTATTTATTATACTATCCATGACCTTTTACATGAGCTGGCTAAACATTTCACCATGGAAGCTTTTGCAAACTACTATGCTATTTGTTTGTAAAGGCAATAGGACTTCATGTTTATTTTGTGGAGTAAAGTTGCCTATAGAACCAACCTCGAGGAGACTAAGGAAATTCAATGCCAAGTCCAAGATCTTTGGGACCGCGGGTAATGTAGATAAGGCCCGATCTTTCGAAAGGTATGATAGAGTCGATTGGTGGAGACTCGACGTTTACGATCTAGGCTTCAAACCAAGACTAATTTGGACCCCCGCAACCATTACACCACTGCTCCATTGGTTATCAACCACGCGAACGCGATTGACCTCGCCGAGAAGGCTTTCCTATAAGCGAATCGAGAACACAAGCAAGAACGGGATGAACGCAATCTAAAATTGCAAATAAATATGAGGCTTATGATAACGAGAAGGAGTTCAAGTCTTTATTCGAAAGGACTAATCGCCACAGGCGAACAAGATCAAGAACTGGGGCCCTGGTTCACAACAAGCGGCCTTGACGGCACAGTTGTAGCAAAATGACGTATGTTTCACGAGGAAATCAAGAACTAAACAAAACCCAAACCCTAAGGAGAGTGACGGCTGCTAATTATAGAGCCCCGGACATCAACCCCCTAGATGCACCCCCTAATGGGCTCTAAGACGATACACGGCCCAACGGACCAAAAGACGGTGTCGCAGTACCATGGTAGATTCTGGATGCTGACTTGTTTTGACGATTCCTGTTGATTCCAAAGGACTTTTGACGTGATACCACTTGCATTGGCTTCCTTATCTAATTATCTTTCCATCCATATGTGGATCGTCAAAAACAGATCCCGGACACGCCCGTGTGACTAGTTTTATGATAGACTGGTCCAGAAACTCGAGATGGCCTCGAACTTGATTTGGGCCTCCACCTTGGTGACTCGAACCGGATGAGCTTCGAGCCTCCTTCTTGGTTAGGACACCCTCGCTGATCTCCTCATCCTCTATCTCCAAGCATGGTCGTATGCATGGAGCTCATGTCCTCATCAGTGGGTATGTACACGAGAACCTTTGTCCTTGTGTTGTTCTCATTCTTTTGGTTTCAATAAAAGATGACAGTTGGCGCAAGTGTGTAGGTTATGTAGCCATTAATAATATCACAATAAGGTATCATAATCCTATTCCTAGGTTAGACGATATGGTTGATATTTTTTTTCTAAAATTGACTTCCGTAGTTGTTTAGAAAAAAAACATATGCTTCCGTAGTTGCCATGGTTCTCGATTGAAATACACACTATCCTGCAAAAGATTAGTACTAATAAGAAACATATGCTCCTTTTCTTTGGATTTCACTTGTGTTCAAAAAGCAAAACTAAAGGAATATGACATAACAACAGTGTTGATTTTACTGTCCTATAGTTGATCATTACTTTGCACAACAAAAGGAGAATTCAGATTTGTACAAATGTAAACTCGTTGTATCAAATATTGTCCTTCGTTGTTATATTTGCCAAAAACATGATATATATGTCTAGAGAACCATGGCAAATCAGTATATGCATAAAGTTTTTCCTCTAAAGAACTAAGATTACACGGAACATCAAATTCAATGTAACCCAAAGTATTT